TTCTGTGTTCTCATTTTTTTCATTAGCACGTCCAGATAATAATAGAACCTACTGCGCAGAACTGTCATGAGAATTAAATGCTTTAAACTATGACTAATATGTATCTACAGTGTAAGAGTTTTGTGGGATGGATATATTAATTAATCTGTTTTATTAAATGGCTTAGTTCCTGTGTTGTGTTTATTGCTCTAAATTTGTGAAGGATCTTCCTAGCTAGTCATAGTTTTTCCTTGGTTTTTGTCAGTTTTGTTGATCTTTTCAAGAACTAGTTTTATAACTTACTTTTTTTTGTAGTTAGATAAAAGTTTAAATTTTAATATTTTTTCTCTTTCAGCAGTGGCTTTTAGAAATGTAAGCTTTACTTGCATCCCATAAATTTTGGTTATGCATTTATTTTCATTAGTTTCATGGTATTTTGTAATTTTTCTTATAATTTTTAGAGTATATTGATTTCCAAATTTTTGTGAATTACCTAAATTTCTTTCTGTTGTTCTCAGTTTATGTCACTGTGCCTGGTCAGTGGATTTGTATGGTTTTGGTTCTTCTGAATTTATTGAGACTTGTTTTATGTGTGTTCTCTTGTTGGAGTGTCCTATATATATTAGTTAGGTCTAGTTGGTTTATAGTGTCATTACTGATTTTATGTAGTATTTCTAGAAAAAAAATTTATTATTTTTTATTTGATCTGTTTAAGCTGTATGTATCTTTATTATGAGTTATCAAAGTTTTTTCTTTTTAGGGTATTTGTTAGGTTTTAGTTTTACGTTATCTACTGTATCTTCAAGTTTTTCTAAATCATTTTTTCAGTGTCTTTTGTAGATTCTTTTTAAAAGAATTGGATTCTTTTTAAAAAACCTGAGAATCAGTTGTCTTGTGATAAAATTAGTATCCTGAGTGGTAATTTTTACATTTAAAAAAATGTTTTCCACATTTGTTACTTCTTTCCTGTTTTCAGTCTCTCCTAGAGGGCTTTTCCCTCGTCTGCCTCCGTTTATATTCTAGAGGGAAGGCATATATGATTTTCAGTTCCTTAAGTAGTAATCTAAAATTTTCTTTAGACATGTTTAACTGATTATAGGAAGAAAATACCTGTTTTCAGATTCTTCTGTAAAATAAGTAGTGTGACGTTCTGCCTTTTGCTTTTCCCCATGATCTAGAAATCCTAATTTTTCTATATCATCTGGAATTGTAGACTAAATTTATCACAGATTTTGCAGCCAACTTATTTGTGTGTTTTTGAGGTAGTCTATTTCCTCTTGCCTGGACGGCTTGTAAGAAACAAAACTTAATACCAGCCTACGATGTGGGAGTAGTCGCCATTAGAATTATCTGGGAGTTGTCTCCATTAGAAACATCCATGGTGAATGTTTTTAGGACCAGGTCTCTTAAACCTCCTACCCTCCAGAACTTGTCTTTTAATGACTTTTCCAGTTGCTCTAGACTACTACTTAGGAATATCATCAGACGCTTGCTTCTGTCTTCTTTCACATTTACCCTTTCTCCAATTTTCTTTTCCATATTTTGGGCATTTCTTCAGTTATATTCTACATTACTGATTTATTATTCAGAAGGGCCAGTTCGGGGCTTTTCTTCTTCAGATTAGTTAAAATAAAGAGATTTTCAAGCATAACTAGAAAATTTAGTAAGTAACCAGTTTACCTTCCCCTTAGCCTTATCGTATTTCAGTATTTTGCCATCTATGCTTCAGAAAGGTTTTTTGTTTCCATTTTTTTTTGTAGGGAAAGTAAGTTTAAACTGCTATATACCTGCTTTTTGCCTCCGTGCAACTGTTCTCTTGAATTTGGTCTTGTTCACCTATTTACTACGTAGTTAATATGGCATCATACCGTACAGTTGTTTCCGCAGTTTGCTGTTTTCAGTCAGCAAAATGTTGACATTTGTCCTTGTTGATACTGAAAGCAGTTTTTGTAGCATAAAAGCCCTGTTTGCTTGCTGTGGTGCATCTGTCCGAAAGGGGTGACTTTTTGTGATATTCTTGTATCCTAGGAATAAATGCTGCCTGGCCATCTTAGTGTACAATACAGCACATTTGTGAGTTTTGTTTGGCTGTATTTTGAGTAAAAGTTTCTGTAATGAATCCTGGCTTCTTCAGGTACTGATTTTTTCACCCCTTTTTGAGATGAGATCTCACTGTGTCACTAAGTTGCCTGAGTTGGGCATTCCCTTGTGTCCGTCTCCCAGAGCGCTGGGATTGCAGCCATGTATTCCCATGTCTGGATTCATGTCCTGATTTTTCAGTAGTGTGTCTATTTTTCTGTAACTAGAAATAATCCATGAAAAATATAATTAAATGTGTCCCTTTTCTCAGGTTCAGGTGAGTCTTTGGGGGCTTCATATAAACAACTTCAATTTATTGTCAGTTATTAAGCTATCTGATTGTATTTAACTTTTAGCAGTTTCTGTATTATTTCAAGAACCATGTTTCAATAGATTACTTAAATAAGTAATAATAAGTAAAGAAATTCTAAGAAAGGGAGCTCTTTTTTGATGTTTAAATCTATGAAATTTTCTCTTGGCATTATGCTAACAATTTTTTTATGGAGGCTTTTTTTCTGAAAGTTCTGTTATAGTGTACTTTTTTATTTCTTCCTTGGTCATGTTTTTAGTTTAGTCTTTTCAAAAGATATTTCTATTTTTGTTGTGGTCAGAGTGTTGTATAAATTTATATGTGTTTTGAAAATACTTCATAGAAATATAGCTAGAATTATACCTCATCAATCACGCTTTCCTTCTTTTCTTGCACTCTAGTTATTGCCATTCCTGATAACAGGACTAATAATTTTCTGCTAGAATTGTTTGTTCATTTTATTCTTGTATTTTTGTAGGGTTGGTTTGTCTCTGGCAGTGTGACAGTGGAACCCAGGACCATGCATGCTAGACAAGGACTCTACAACTGAGCTACATTTCCAGCCCTATACTCTAGTACTTTTAAAGTTACACTACTGAACATATCTTCTAATTATGAACTGTAGGGCCGGAGAGATAGCTCAGCAGCACAGCCCCTGCCTGGCAAGTGCAAGGTCCTGAGTTCGATTCCAGGTACCAAAAAAAAAAGTAACTGTAAAAGCACATATTTTTTTAAACTGTAGTAAAACTATAGTAGCATTTAAAGACAATACAAATATGAGCAGCTGTTTTGAGGATGATGATACGCAGTGTGCTAACCATTGTTATGCTCTTATAATCTTGTTTTGAAATTTTATACCATTAGTTTTATTGTTTATTTTTCTTTTCAGTAAAATAAAATTTAAAAAATACAAATCCAGAAAGATAATTCAGCTATCATTTTTGATGTATATTCTGTAGTGTCTAGAATTAAAATAATCATACATGTTCTGTGTGAAAAATAACAGAAAAAAATCATGTTCTGTGATACTTTTTGGTTTATCTTGAATAGTTTTCATCTTTAAGTATTTTCAGAGAATATGAATTTTAGTAGCTGCACAGTATTCCAAGTCTTCTCAGATTTGTTAAAAATCATTTATCTACGTGGACTTGTTTGTACTTGAAGGGTTATTATGGAGATTTATCTCATTCTTTTCATTTTAACTGTCTTGTTTCATCATAATTTATCTCAGAATTGTAAATATTAGCTATTTGATAAGTTTTTGCTCAGTATTTAAAAAAATTTTGAGTGCGCATAGTAATTTTTTGTCTTAGTATTTTCTTTTAGTAAAGAAACATAGTGTCTTTACATGGGAGATTTTGTTGGTGTCATGTTTTATTTTTCCAGTTGTATTTATCCATAAATTAATAGACTTTACATTTACAAAAATAATTTTCATGCACATTGTTTCCTTGAATATAAATTTGTGAGACGTCTAAAACTACTCCTACCTTGATTTTTAAGAGATGATTAGTACTGACATTTTATATATGACTAAACAAGAGCAAGTAACTTTAGATTTCTGCTGAAAGACAAACTTCATTTTTTTCACTTTATCCTCTGATGTTATCCCAGCAGTTATCTTCACCCACAGCTGCATTTGATTTTAAACTGCCTTCAATAATTGGTCGGTTTTATTTAATAACATATCTTTAAATTGTGTGCCATTTCTAACCTTTCTGAACGTTTAGAAGCTGTGGAGAGGGTTTGCTGTGAGTTACAGCTTTGCTGGTCAACCCGGCTGGGCCTCTTCAGTTGGGCGTCTGCTCATTTAGTTACATGAGATCCAAGGCAACCTGTCTGTAGTCCTTCAATGAACATTTACTTTTTGCTGAGTTGTTGGCCTTATGTCCATTTTACACTGTATATTATCTTCTCCACATTATTTGGGTTATTTTTCAGAAGCCTTTACTTATGTAAGTTGACACTGGTTACTAGTCTCTAGATCTTTCTTCAGTTGTTTTTACATGGTGGTAGGTGTTCTGAGTTTATTCCTTTTCAGATATTGTGTGGCTCGTTCTGTAATGTTAATTCTGTAACTAGGCATGAGGACACAGCAACGAATTTTGTTTACAATGAGTGTGGCATTTCAGGCATCTCTCAACACTGTTTTCCTTTGTTACCTGTGGGTTGAGAGATGCTATATTGCTCCAGCCTTTATTAATCTTCTTGAAAACTGTATTAACTGTTCTTTAAATTTGGTTTGAGGCTTTCCATTCAGAGTTTGACAATTCTCTCCTTTCTTACTGCTTTTCACCTTTTTCACTGACCCTAGACTTTCGTTGTTAATTCTTCCTCCTTGGGTTTATGTTCGTCTGTTTCTTTTGATAAACTACTAGTTTCAGTTTTCATAGCTCTTTAGAACGTTAATCTACCTAAAACATGTGTGGGGAGTTCCATGATTTCAGCTAGTCCAGCATGACATTTAATTGGATCTTAAACCACCAGAATTTAAATTGCCTTCTTTCAATATAATGTGACAGGAAACATTTGTGGCTCCTTGTAACCCAAATGATGAGTAGGTTGGCTAACTCTTACATGCCTTCTGTAACACACTTGTTACATCCCCACAATGTTCTTATTTCCTTCTTAGTGGAAGAAAAAGCCAATACCCACCTTCTCCTGGGCATGTGCTTAGACTCTTGTGCACGATACCTTCTGTTCTCCAAACAGCCATCCCAGGCACAAAGGATGTATGAAAAAGCTCTGCAGATTTCTGAAGAAATACAAGGAGAAAGACATCCACAGGTAACAAAGGAAAACAGTGCTGAGAAGTGCCTGAAATGCCATACTCATTGTAAACAAAATTCGTTGATGTGTCCTCAAGCCTAGTCCACTCAGCTTGTGACTACCAATCCATCTGTACTCAATTATGTGTTTCAGAAAGGACTTGAGATTGCTGAGTAGTTAGTAAGTCTGCCCAGAATGCATTGCATGGCTTATGGTTTGAACGAGAGACCATACTTTCTATGAGGCAGATCTAACCAGGCAACTTGTGCTTCTTTATCTCTAGTTTTAATGTATAGAGCCTGTGCTGAACAGACTCTGCAGACATTCCATTAGAATCTTGTAACAGTCAAGTTAATACATGAGTTTCCTTGCCTCCCTTGTTCCACAGTTTAAAAAAGGATTAAGGAAAAGAGGGACTGCATTACTTTTTTTTTAATGAGAGAGGGTTTTGCTACATAGTTCAGGCTGGCCTTGAACTTGCAGGGATCCTCCTGCCTCAGCCTCCCGAGTGCCAGGATTACAAGTGTGTGTCACCATGCCTGGCTGGCATTAAGTTTTAAAACACTGGGAGCCGGGGATATAGCTCAGTGGCACAGTGCCTGCCTGGCAAGCACGAGGCCGAGTTCAATTCCCGGTACCAGAAAAAAAAATTAAAAACATTTACGTAGTGTTACAGAATTTAAGCACAACATGCAAAACTTTGTGTTAGAACTCTAAATGCACTGAATTGAAATCTGACTGTTCTATCAAAGTAATTCTTAGAGGTAAGGAGGAGATTGCTTTGTCAGCGAATGCTTTCAGCTGCAGCATAAAACAGACTTTAACTGCACTGAACGTGAAATGTTTGGAAGATAATTTGAGCTATGAATTAACTCCAGGAAAGGAATTTTGAACATTTTACTGAGTGAGCTCTAAGGGGACTTTCATGAAGTTAAGATGGCAAGCACAGAATTCAGATTACCAAGTATTAGAATCAGATGTCCAAAAGCATATCTTCAGTGGAGGGTAAAGTATAGAAGCTTGTCTCTTTCTCAGTACTAAAATTTTAAATACTCATAATGAGACTCCTCCTAAAATAGATGTTTCTTTTTATTTTGATGAGCTTCAAGATCCCTAGCAGGAACGGCATTATAATGTTCTAGAGACAAACAGATGCTAGGAGGCTGGCTTCTCAAAATTGCTGAACCTTGTGTTGGATTTTTTTTTTTTTTAAGAGTAGCAAGTATTTATTGAGAGAAAGAAAGCGTTGCCTAAGAGGGACAGAAGGGGGTCCCTCGTGGTTGGTCCCAGGACCATGGTTGGTCCTGCTTCTCAAGAGTTTTGTAGAGTGAAACCATGAGGTGAGGGGCATGAAACAGGACAAAACTATAGTTAACTAATAAGATTACAAGTGTAATCCTTAGATAATATTGATCCAATGGAAAATCACAAGGTAGGTATGAAGTGGGACAAAATTATGGTCAACCAATAAGATTAAAAATAAAAAATAAAACTATAGTTGTTTAGGTAATATTGATTAGATGGGGATCTAATGGAGAAGTCACCTAGCAAGTGCACATGGGACAAACAAGGATTATCCTGGAAGGGGTGGGTTAAGAAGGTTTTGGTCTTACACCCAAGGTGATTGATGTCTATTTTATTTTATTTTTTGTCTTTTGAGACAGGGCTTCACTATGCAGTTCAGGTTGGCCTTGAACTCACTTTGTTGCCCAGGTTGGCGTTGGCAGCTATCCTCCTGCCTCAGCCTCTAGTGCTGGGACTACAGGCATGATATCTATTTAGAATATAAATAACTGCCATTCACTCCTAAGGGAAGTATGTGGGTGTAGTCATTCCTTTGTCCTGAGGCCTGACCTTCAACAAATGCACCTCCAGCCTCAACTGTCTTCTGCCGTGACCTCTTGAGGGCCAACCCTGTCTGACTACCTGTATTTCTAAATAACTTAGCTGTCTTTAATACTAGTAATATAGGGGAAATGCTAGGTGTCTGATACTCCGAGTTCATGATCCCTGACTTCAAAGACTGAATTCTAAGGAACCATCGAGGCTAAGAGTAGGAACATTTATTGGGAAAAGGAATACAGAATAGGAATAGCTCCTGAATGGGCTGCCCTTCAGTCAGATAGCTTTTTTCCCTTATTTTTCACTTAGTGCTTCTGTGATAATTATTTGAATTAATAATACTCACCCTAACCCTAATTACTGCATTTGTATCATTTGTCAGAGTTGAACTAATACGCTCCACTATACTGAATGAATGATAAGTGCCTGCAGGTTGTTCAAGGCTAGCATCTCTCACTTTTTGTGGAATGTTAGGAAAGATGAAATTGTGTATACTCTTAGTTTAACAAATGTCAGATTAGCATTTTGTGTAGGTGTGTTTTGTTTTTTTTTTTTTTTTTTTTTTTTTTTTTTCCGGTACCGGGAACCGAACTCACGACCTTGCACTTGCCAGGCAGGCGCTTTTTGCCGCTGAGCTAAATCCCCAGCCCCTGTGTAGGTGTGTTTTTAAGGAAAAAGCTAGTTTCTGTTTTCTGTGTACAGACAATTGTGCTGATGAGTGACCTGGCTACTACATTGGATGCACAGGGGCACTTTGATGAGGCCTATGTTTATATGCAAAGGGCATCGGATCTAGCAAGACAGATAAATCATCCTGAGCTGCACATGGTACTCAGTAATCTTGCTGCAATTTTGATACATAGAGGTAAGTAGCAAAGGAAACTTGACTGGCTTGCTTTACAAAGGGATATTACTGAGTCTATAAATTAGTGAAAAGGTGTTTAGGGAGGGCAAGGGGCAATGAGGAGATTCCTAACCTAAAAAAGCTGGTTGAAGAAGGGGAGAAACATCATGTTAAGGTCAAGTACCATTTTTCTTAATCACGTAACATGTGTCTGCACTGGCCTGAGGAACTGTATAGTTTACAGAAAACTTGGCAATGATAGTATCTTATCTTTATGACAGATTCCTACATGTTCTCACTTTGCAATCTGTTTCTCACACTATGCTGGTGAAGCTGCAGTGACAGGGAGGATCAGTTTAACAGGTGTTTCTGAGGGTCATCACTCAGTATACTGCTTAGGGCTTCACTTGTCATTTTCAGTAACCTTAGAGGACAGCTATTACATGGAAGGCCATTGTGAAGTCCTTGGCTGATTGAGGGCCCCAGTGTATATTAAAAAATGCAGTGAGGAATCCTACAACACTCAATAATTTGTAGTTCTTAGACCCGGGTCAGATCTGACAGCCTAAGGCAGCTTGCTAAATAGGTCTGAAATGAAGCAGGATCAGTCTGTCAGGTAGTGTGCACACAGGAAATTAGACCTGTATCCCCATTAGTACTATCTCTTTATAGTCACTTTGAAAATGCACATTTTCTTCTTCTTTTTCTTTGGGTTATTTTAGAACGATATACACAAGCAAAGGAGATCTACCAGGAAGCACTGAAGCAAGCAGAGCTGAAAAGAGATGAGGTTTCTGTACAGCACATCAGGGAAGAATTGGCTGACCTGTTGAGAAAAAGTAGATCTTTGACTTAACTTTATCAAGCTCTGAATCTACTTTGTTGTAGGAAGGCTAATTTCTGGTAACCAGCAGGCATAGTTATTCCAGTGTCTGTGGAATTCAGATCAATTGTGTAAACCCTTTGTTCTTGATATTCAGGTGTCCTCCACTTAGCTTTGGTGAAGGACATGTGTATACACTGCCACTTTTGTTTTTAAAGGAAAAGTATCTTTGACCCAACTAATTGTGACTTCTAAGGACTGATGTTAAGTGATGCTTTCTCTTGTAACATGGGTATTCATACTAGTCCAATTACAGACCGAGATGGGCCAGTTTTCCTTTGGGGTGTGTGTATGGTAGTTATACTTGGTATCTCTACCATACGATTTTGGTTCACTGATATACTGCATTTCTTCTCTTTGTCAATATCTGGCAGACCAAGATACTTATCTCATGGCAAAGGGGAATTATGGTGAGTTACTTCTCTTACAATCTCTTTCACAAAGCACATTGTGGATTTAACGCATAAAGCATTGCCACCAGCACTCTACATGAAGTTTTAACGTGGACAGTGGGCCCTTGGGAGTATAGTACCCACTTGATTATAAATAAAAGTGAACTATGTGCCTGGTTTTATGTAGCTATTAAAAATGGTGGTGGTGGAGGAATGATGTAACCTCTTGTCAGTACTATCTGAGCATTCAATATTCTTCACAGCTGTGGTGACAAGAGGCCCTGTTTAAAGATACACCTAGACTGCACTTTTAAATTAGGACCTTACAAGAGCCTTACAAAACAGCTATTAATTGTGATGTGTGTTGCTGGTATAGTAGAGCCACTGACCAGATCCTGGTTAGTCCTGGCCTTTTGATTTTGTGTTCTCAGTATCCTCACCTATAAATGAGGTATAAACAAGATTCTTTCTTAGCCATGGGGGAAGGAATCTGGTCATATGATTTTAAATGAATAGACCACTATGTTGAAAGAGATTCACCACACTGCCTCAGAATATGTAAATACAAGATACATAGATCGATGCTTTTATGACAGTAGTCTTGCAACTAGCCATTTGTCTAGTGGGGGAAAGACAGTTTTTTTTAAGTACTGCAAAGGAACACTGATATTGTTGGTATGTCTCATGCCGCTGTGTGTGTGCATGTGTGTATCTGGGAAGGTGGAACTGGTAAACTGGTATTTTTGGTTCTTATGTATATACTGGAAGAATCTTTTCATAATAAACCGGAAACTCTGTAACAATATTGTATGTATTCCAGTAATCTTTGGGTTAGTTGTAGAAAAATAACTTGACGTTAATAAAAACGAAGTAATAGAAACCTTGAGATTCAAATCAAGGATTACACTAGAGCTAGAATTTTATATTTTGCAGATACAAATTTATTCCTGCTTTCTATTTAGGCTTATTATTTACCACCCAGCTAACTCCATCAATCAGATCTAAATCTGAGAGATGATTAGATTTCTCAGTGCAATCCAGTCCTGATTAACTGATTTACAAAAAATTAATGTGAACCACTCACCTTGTGTTGAGAATGTTTTTTTACTTTTTCACAATTGCAAGAGTTACTAAAACTTTTAATTTTAACTCCATGTTTTATTTAAGTATTTAGTCCTACACAGTGATTGAGCCCATGATCCCATTTCTGGAAAAACTATTAGTTTTCAAAAAAGAAGCTCCGCATGTGGGTATTTTCATTGAAGTTCATTTGCACTGGGGTAGAACAAAGTAGTAAAGCAAAAGGAGCATTGATCTCCTTTACTGATTGAGCTGAAAGTTGTTTAAAATAGTGTAAATTTCTGAACTGTACTGTCTTTGGAGTTTTCAGGGCATAAATATAAAGTAGAATCACTCAACCTTCCAAAATTAAAGCATTTACAAAATTCCCAACTGTGAACATGTACTGGAAAATTGGCTGTTGTATTATTTTTACGAACAGTATTGGGAGACTTTAGTTTACTTGTGGGTACTAAAGAATTAGGACTATGGATACAGCATCAGAGTGCTGAGTTTAAAGCTTGCAGAGGTATGCCTTGTTTTGCAGCTGGCTTCAGCAAGTCATCAGCTACTGGCAGAGCTGTGTTTGCTGTTAGCAGCATTGTAAGATGAATGTCCACCCTTCTTAGGGTTTGTTCCATAATAAACAAGTTGTATGAGAATTCTGTCCTTTCATCTATTTTAAGCAGTGATACTGGATTTTTAATCTCCTATTCTGAAACCTCTTCTCCAGGTGACGGTACTTGAAGCAGTCACACAAGTGCTGTGATGAGGGTGGAGTGAGTGGTTAGCTTCAGCTCACCTTGGGGTCCTCAACTAGAACTGCAAAGGTTACAGGTTAGGCGTTGATCTGACTTGCAATAGAGTAAGACACTCTGGGTTTTAAAAAATTAACTTGTTCTCTTTTGGGGTCAGTTGGCAATTACTAAGCTCTGGAATATTACTAGTACCTGAAAAAAATGGAGGGGAAAACTGTTCAAAACATTTAGTCATCACTTTTCATTCATGTTGTAATTATACTTGTAGGGCCAAGGGTACAACTTAGTGGTGTAGCGCCTACCTGCAAGCATGAGGTCCCGGAGTTTGATTCCTGGTACCCACAAAAAGAAAAAAATATATACTTGTAAATATAAAGGTATGAACTTTCCAAGTAAGAGAAACTCTGACCAGTCCAGCCTGATCTAAAGTTTGTTTTGAGGACCTCAAGGTACAAGAGTAGAACAGTGATAAGCGGAAAGGTCTTGACTCTGGACAAACACAAGCGGTGGCCTGTGTTTGTCACTTACTGAATTACATGAGTAAAGCATTATTAAGCCAATCTTCATCTGTAAAACAGGGATTAGACACCAGTGCTGCTGGTGATAGGAGGGTGTCAGTCAGCGGTTAATTGTAAAAGTGCTTTTTTAAGAGGCATGAACACTTTTGTCTAGAAGTTTTGGTTTACTTGAAAGTCTGTAAAGTGCTAGTTTTTATCATCCTGAGAGAGTGCTGTTTTTCCCCTTTCCAGTTATGAGGGGCATTCTCCCAAAATTGTTAGTACCTATATGCTATGGAAGGATGCTTAAATGCTATAATTATATGAAAAAAATCTGAAAATTCAACAAACAAATATTAATGAAGGATAAAAGAGCCCCCTGTATCATACTATTACAATCCTTTACATTATTTGCACCTTACAGATCTATGAAATGAAAACATTAAACAGTAAACTCCTGTCCCAAGGAAGGAAAGTAGCTGCTGACAGAGGTGGGAAAGGTTTGTTTAGGACGCAGAACCAAAGCAAGTCAAAGAGACCACGATAATACATAGATTTTCTTTTAACTCAACCAATCATATATATCAAGTTGAAGAAAAATATGTTTCTCTTTTGAAACCTGAGACACCAAGAGTCTTAAATAACAATCTGCTGTGGCTATGGACAGGGCAGTCAAATTTATTTTGAAACAAAAGCTTGGTTGGGCTGCATCAAATGCAGAAGAAAAGGAGTACTTAGGGGCATGGTTAAATTACCAGTGTGCATAACAGTGAGGTATGCCTCAAATAAGCCTTTAAAACTTTAAAAACTGAAGTATAACATACCCATGCAGTAATATTTTTTCAGTGCTACTAACGAAAAAAAGTTAAAGCCTGCACTGGAAATTTACAATATGGCAGAATTTTGTTGCTCCTACCTTTTGACCCTAATGTACAGATTTTATAGCAGGGTCTGTGTAAAAAATTAAAACATTTTCACAAGATTTTAAACATCACTGGGAAGCTGAATTTAGAGGAAAGAATATTAGATAAAAGTACAATGCCCGAGACAGCCAACATTACGTAAATGGGCTGTATGAGGTTGTTTAGAAGGCAAGGGTTAAAAAGAGACAAAAAGGTTTTTAAAAATTACCCCCAATGTTGATGCGCTGATCTGAACATAAGTACACCAGATACTACAGCAAGGGGACACACTGCAAAAAGGTCATCTATTTACAGAGAGTGATTTTTCTTTACAAACAGATGTAAGAACAGAAAATTGTCCACTTTTTAAAAACTCTACATTTCAACCCTCCACTAATTATTATAACCCACTGAACTGCCTGTATCAAAGGCAGTTTTTTTTTTTTTTTTTTGTCCCATTTGACTTTCCAAATGAATTGCCATCATTTCTTCATTTCTGTGGCCCTGGCTCTTCTGAAAAGTCTTTGGGCACGGTCATAGGAAAGCCAGGTTTTAACCTGTCATTAAAATGAAACCACCAAAAGCTGGAGCTCTTCGTTTGGGCGGTGACCCCAGTAAGCCCCTCTGCAGTTCAGTCATCACTATCAGACAGAGTCTCATACTGTGCTGAGAGGAGAGGGGCGGGCTCCCGCTCCCAGATCCGGGTCTGTTGGTGTGGGGCTGCTTGGTTCACAGCAGAGGGAGCACATGCAATCGGTGTTGGTGGAGTACTGCTGAGCATCCGCATGGTCAGAGGGTTATAGGGAAACTGAGTTGAACCTGACAAAAGAAAAAGGTTTTCAGTATTAGAAGCACATTTGCTATTTCATCTAATCTAACCATTACCAGATGGGATAGCACAAGATTATTAAACTGAAGTATTAGTGTGACACGACAAAAACGAAATTAATACAACGTAGAAGGGCTAAGTTTTCACCATTATGCAACAATCAGTCCAAGTCTACACAGGACAAATAACATTGAATAAGCAAATGGGAAAGGGCTGCTGAGCCCAGAAGAGAAAAGCCCAGAGCTGGACTAAATGCAGCTGTGGAGTAGTGAGCAGTAACTGAAAGTCTGGTTACACTGAGATCCTCCTTGGCTTCACACAAGAAATGCAGGAGTACAATTTTCAGAAGATGAGGTGGCAAGTGCCCAGCAACTTCTGCAGACCAGGAGGCAGCAAGGTGTGTGTGAGCTACAGAACCTCCCTGAATAGATCCGGAAGTGGGACACATAAAGTGAAAAGAGCGCTGCTTCCTTTTGTGGATTTCTGTAAGTTAAATTATCCCCAGAACATCTCCTATAGTTTCAAAAACTAAAACCATTTTATCAAGTAATCTTCTGTGTGGTCTTACAGTAATTCCTTTACTAAGATATCTGAGAAGCAGCAATATTCATTTAAGTCATACATTTTCAAAATAATATAAAATTTAAGGGAAAAGCCTTAAACTATTAGTATACTATTATATGAAATTTTTATATTATTATTATTTATTAGTTGGTTTTTTTGAGACAGGGCCTCACTATGTAGCTCAAGCTGGCCTTGAACTAAGTAACCTAGGCTGGCCTCAAACTCAGGGAGATCTTCCTGCCTCAGCCTCCTGAGGGCTGGGATTATAGGCATGTGCCACCATGCCCAGCTTGTTTTTATGTTTTATGGGAGAGGGGACAGTTCAGGTTTCTCTTTTATGTGTGTGACATGTATGTGTATTTAACCTGCTGCTAAGAAAAGGAGGGCATAAAATTCTCTGAAACCTTGAAATTCACAGCACATACCCTAGTTTTATTTAAAAAAAAAGATTGTTCTCTTTTAAATCT